TCAGTTAGTTGAGATCATTTAGAAAAATTGTCTGCTTACATTTTCAGTCTGTATCAAAAATCTAAACTGTGAAACAGGGTTTTATTATTGTATCATTCTACTATCTAAGTTTGTTTTAACAATTTGCTTATTCTTTACTGTAAATTTCACTGCCTACCTCAACACATACATTGTGCTTTTTAATTCAGCGTCACTCTTGCTCCATGTGCAACAGCAGATAACGTTAATACATCTTTTTTATATTTTCAAAAGATCTGCACTACACAACCTCACATTTTTTCTTGTGATCATCCCAAATGTGCAGGAAATCTCACCTAATAGGAAACATACAGTCTTTTTGGATCTTGCTTTGTACATAAGGGACATTTCTTATGGTTGTTGTGATGACTAGCTCCATCTTCATGTACAACAGGAACATTTCTTCCATCCTCCACTTTGAAAAATATTACGTTGTTGGATGTCTCTGTTGTGTACAGCAATTTATTTAAATATAGCTTCTGTTCTCTCAACATTAACAACCTTAATATAGAAACCTTTACAAAGGCGGCACATTGATTGGAACATTACTTTTCTTCACAGCTACACCTGCAGCAGTATAGTGGCTGGAAGCAGCTGTGAGCAGCAGGGACTGGAAGTAGGATCAATGTGCTTTCAGCATAGTTAACATTACCCTCAATATGGGATTATACAGGAGGGTACAAAGCTAGCAAATTTACCTTACTATATCTAGAAACTCAAAATAGTTCTATTTATTTCACCTGCAGTCTCCTTCACTGGTCTTTTTTTTCTTTTTTAGAACTCCCTGAGCTCCACACAATTAAAGGTTACGAGCACCCAGTGGTTCTCGTGATTATAGGCTCCACTGTAATTGGGTGAGATTTCCAAGCTTGTGCAAAGAATGTATACAAGGTCAAACGAATTGCAGGTAATTGTGGGAGAATGGAAACGTGTAGGTGGCTGGAGGGGAGGAGGATATCATTAATTTGATTTTATTGTATATATTATTGCCAGTTTTGCTGCCAGGGAGATTTCATGCTTTAAGACAGCATATGCCCAGTTCAGAGAAGTAGCATTCACTCTGAATATCTGATGAATCATTAAGATTTGAGTAACTGTAACTGCAATTGTCCATCTATCCATTTATTTTCCTGCGCCTCAAGCAGGAAGGTACAGACATCCCTCTCACCCATTGCTTCTGCCAGCTCCCCCAGGGGGATGTCAAGGCATGTCAGGGTCTTCCTCTGGGTCTGTTCCCGATCGGATGTGCCCACCCAGAACATCTCACCAGGGAGGCATCTGGAAGGCATTCTAATCAGACGCACATGCCGCCTTGCTGCCTTCTCAACTGCCTTCAGAGTAGAGCAGTGGCTGTTTTCTGAGCCTTTCCTGGATGACTGAGACTCTCACCCTATATCTAAGGGAGACACACTGCAGAGGAAACCCATTTCAGCCATTTGTATCCGCTATCATGTTATTTCGGTCACGACCCAAAGCTCATCATCATAGATGAGGGTGGGAATGGTCAGGCCTGGGCTGCACAACTATTATCTATCTCTTTCTCCATTTTAACCCCATTTGTGAACAAAACCCAAGATTCTTGAACTCCTCCACTTGGGGCAGGACTTCCCCCCTAACCCGGACAAGGCATTCTTCCCTTTGTCAGTTCAAGACCATGGCCTGGAATTTGGCTGCGAACTGCTCCAGAAAAAGTTGTAGATCGCGACTTGATGAAGCCAAGAGGACCACCAAAAAGCAGAGATGCAATCCCAAGGCCGCCAAGATGGATTCCTTCAACACTTTGGCTGCACCTAGAAATTCTACGTCCAGGGTCAAACTGTCACCGAAAAAAAGAGCCTGACTTACCACCGGTGATGCAGACCAAGCCCTGACACCAATCATACGGCCTTGATCAAAGGGGCCCGGTACCCCATAAGGAACACAGTCAAACACCTTCTCCAAGCCCACAAACACAGGAAAACTAGTTGGATGAACTCCCACGTACCCTCCAGGACCCTACTGAGGGTATAAAGCTGGTCCAGCATTCCATGGCCAGGGTGAAAACCACACTGATCTTCCTGGATGCTCTTCTCCAGAACTCCTGAATAGACCTTACCAGGGAGGCTTAAGAGTGAGATTCCCCTGTAATTGGAACACAGTCTAAGGTCCCCTTTATTGAATAGGGGGACTACCACCCAATCCAGTGGAACCACCTCCGATGTCCAAGCAGAGCCCTACAACCAATACAGCCCTACAACATCCAGAACCTTGAAGAACTCCGGAATTCCACCCCTGGAGCCCTGCCACTGAGGAGCTTTTTAACCACCTCTGTGACCTTAGCACCAGAGATTGGAGGCCCAACCAAATGTCCCCAGACTCCACATCCCTAATAGAATACATGCCGGTGGGATAGTAATATTTCACGTATGGGATATATGCAGGAACTGCAACTGGTAGGCTAGCTAAACAAAAGCAAGTTGGAATTGAAGCACAACAGACAGATTCACTATGTTTGAAATGTACTATTTTATAGTCAATGAACAAACAATGTCAAAAGATATAAATGGGCATTAGACTAATGCAACATCAATTCATCCACATGGATGGAAATTATGTTATGACCTCAACTTTATGATTCAACTTTATATCAAGCTTATGAGATTTGCAGAACCAAATCCACACATTTGGTTTTTCGTCACACTGTCTCTTTTGGCATTGAGGCTGTGTGTTCGAAAAGTACATTCACTAAATATATGACTCAGGTTGTAACAAATTAGACATTTGCTGCATTGGTGACCTTCGGTTTAATAAGTTATTTCCATGGTTCGCTATACCTTGTGAGGTGAATCATTATACTGAGATGTCCTTTGTTGTCTGTCATCAATCCACAGTATGTTTGCAATGTTAGCCTTAAATGATAGATACTTTTCGTCAAACAAGCAAATGCACAATTTGCAGCTTGAACAGTTTAAATCCACTCAAATTATTTGGGTAAGTAACCACCTGTGGACACTCCCAGCATGTACTCAGTTATTCGAAATTTTGATGGATAGTGAGAATGATTTGATGCTATTTTTTCCTAATGAGAAAATGCCAGCAACACACCAGTGGGGTGGAAAAAGGTCCCAATGAAATACTCAGGGGAAGACCCCTGACAGCCTGGAAAAACAGAAGTGACGCGCCATTATGCATTCTACTTGGACTCTCTATCATTTGTGATAATTGAGGGTTGTGCCATAAGATTAACCAAGGACAATATCGTTGAAGGGTTTGTTGAGGGCAGTGTGATTCTGCGACCGGTGTTGCATGTTTGATTGTTCAGTAGCATGTGTGTTTGGCTTTTGGCGAGCCTTTGCTGTGTGCTATTCACTTGGAACTCTTTTGAGGCCATCTGTCACTGATGGTCTTGTGTACGGTGCAGATGGGTTAGTGGTACAACAGCATGTAGTGATATCTTCAAAGCTTTTGTGCTGTGTGTAGGCACTTATGGGTTTCCGTTATATGATAACACTATTTCGATTTTGTTTAACTTGGCCGTAAGATTTGAATTCAGCTCTATGTTTTTGATTATGTATGGATGTTACCATCTTGAGGTAAAAAATCTGTTTGTAATTGGCTACAACATTAAGAACACATGTGACATGTGCATGCCCATTGCTTTGCTTGGTGATGCCACTCTTGGTAACTTTCAAAGCCTGCCTTTTTCATCTTTTTTGGGGGGGAAGTTTGAGGTCTTTAAGAAGAGAAAAAGTGTGGTTTGATCTTGATTGAATGGACTCTTATAAAGTATGGCCGCTTTAAGCCCTTTTTCATTACAAGAGTCTCACTTAGCTGTAAAAAATCCTTCTGAATGTGCATGATTCTTTGTGTTAATGGTCTAAAATGGCAGTGCCTGTGAAGGTGTGGATAAAAATCATACCTGTGGGGATGTTTGAGGGGACTGCACTGCTATTACTGATGAAACTCATCCAGACCCATTTTTTTTATCTTCGGATAGATTTTATAATCCACTATACTTTCCAGAAAATTAAACCCATGTTTTGAAGCATAGCAAGGATGTTTTACAACAGAATAAGTAAGAAAGACCAACAAGATGGAATAACTCACCCTTTGTCAATGCACCGATATTCATTTGGCGCACTGACAAAGGGTAAGATGGCCTTGACTGCTGCTCTTTATTCAAACAAAGTTTGCACAATTAATTAGTTTTGTATAGTTAATTGTATGATTAAGTCTCTATATTCAATTCAACTAGTTTTTTTGTTTCTGTGGCATCGAATATGGCACTAAATGTTCACTGGCCCTAAAATGCTGATAAGTTTACAAAAACATAATAAAAAAAAGGTTGAATTAAGATGAGTTTCATCAACATATGAATAAATAAGGCCGCCTACTAACTAAAAAAAAATTACCAAAACTTTTAGTAATGTCAGTTAAATCATTGTTCATTTTATCAGAATTAATTGAAATTGAAGTGATGAGTGATGAACTGTTGAACACTATTTGAGAAACCCAGAACTGAAAATTAACTTAGCGTTAACCAACAATTGCTAAAATACTGTGATTTTTAAAAACTTATTCAGATAGAAACAATTTTATATTTATTGCTCTTGTATTATTTCTTGTAACAAATAAAAAAATACAAGGGGCTGAAAAGAGCCGCAGCCTTGGTGAGACTGCACTTAGCATAGCATGAGATGAGGTCTGTGTATGACACATGGGCCAGTGAGCAAGTTAAATGATAAATGCTCCTGCTGGTAAAAGTGATGAATGATATATTGCATTCAGATATGGGTCTGGGATGCACAATCCTCCTGTTCGCGACCATTTTAAAAGGAAATGTATACCCTTTAATAGTAGTTGAACTTGTTCTCTTTTCTCAAATATATATGTATATATATATGTAAATTATATATATATCTGTGTGTGTGTGTGTGTGTGTGCGCGCACATATACTGTGTAGACTTTTCACTTATTGTTTTCACTTTCTCTTTTTTTTATAGGAGTACCAAATTGATATAATCTTCGCCCAGACATGGACAGACAGCCGCCTCCGATACAATAACACGATGAAAATATTGACTTTAAACAGCAATATGGTTGGACTTATTTGGCTACCAGACACCATCTTCAGAAACTCCAAGAATGCAGATTCCCACTGGATTACAATGCCAAACCAGCTGCTCAGAATATGGAATGATGGGAAGATACTTTACACCTTAAGGTAAATACGGATACCTGCATGCATAAAACGTTTTTTTCCTAAGATATACACTTAAAGTACACTCACTTTCACTTACACTCACTTCCCATTTTCTCAGGAACATCATGTTAGTAAAAGGTCCCCTTTTGTCTTCAGAACTACCTTAAATCTTCATGATCTTCATTCCCAAGAGTTTTTGGTCCATATTGACATAATAGCATGGTGCGGTTCCTCCAGATTAGCCCGCTGCACATCTATGATGCAAATTTCCCTTTCTACCACATCTCAAAAAAGCTCTATTTAGTTAGATCTTGTTACTGTGCAGGCCATTGGAGTACAGCGAGGTCATCGCCGCGGCCAAGAACTCAGCTTGATACGAGCTTCACAACATAATACGTTATCTTGCTGGAAATAGTCAATAGAAGATTGGTACATTGTCGTCATAAAGGGATGGTCATGGTCAGCAACAGTGCTCAGATAGGCTGCCAAATTTAAGCAATGCCCATTCGATACTAATGGGCACAAAGTGTTCCAGGAAAATATCACCGGCACCATTACACCAACACCGACAGCCTGAATGGTTGATACAAGGCAGCACGGATCCATGCGTTCATGTTGTTTACGCCAAATTCTGACAGCTTGAACTTGAATATTGCAGCTGAAATCAATACTCATCAGTTCTGATATGATCTTATTTTGGGGAGGAGGGGAACTATGTAGTCTCGGTTTTACTGTTCTCAGTTTATGGGGGTGGTACTCAGCGTAGTCCTCTGCTGCTGGATACTATCTTCTTCAAGGTTTGACCCAGGTTGCATTCAGACATTATTCTGCATTCCTTGGTTGCAACAAGTGGTTCTTCGAGAGACTGCTGCTAACAGGAAATTCTCTATTTTGAACCGTTTTTGGAAAACCATTTGAGATTGTGTAATCCCAGTAGATCAGTAGTTTCTGAAATACAGTAGAACCTCCACTTACGATTACCTAAACATACAAATTTTCCAACATACGAAGTGAAATTGGATCAAATATTCAACTTGACACCCGAAGTAAATTTCCAACAAATGATCGACATACGTATGACGTCAAAGTCATAGAAATATATATATAAAATATAAAAATCAAATAGAAATAAATAAGATAAGTTAAAAATTTTACGTAGTGAAAGTTAGAGTAAGTTACGATTCATACTGTATCTCAGTCACCACCTCTACCTCCACACCACATCTAATGGGAATATTTGAACCAACGAATACGAATATTTTAACATACGAAGTAGGTCCCATGACGAATTAAATTCATCTTTAGAGGTTCTACTGTACTTAGACCAGCATGTCTGACACCAACAACCATGCTACGTTCAAAGTCACTTAATCACTATTCATCCTATTTCTGATGCTCGGTTTGAACTTCAGCAGGTCCTCTTGACTATCTCTACGAGCCTAATTGCATTAAGCTGTGGGCCTGTGATTGGCTGAACAGCTAATTATCATTACAAATAATTGAATTGGTGTTCTTAATAAAGTGTTCGGTGGGTGTATGTGTCTTGGACATTCAGAAAATATGAGAACACGCCCTTGCTCTTTTCATAAACTTCATTGAATTGTACATTTAAGTCAAATTGCTGTACATTCAATCCAAATGTATTCAGACTATTACTTTAGAGCAGAAGCACGATGGACAAATGGATGACTTAGCTCTTTATCAAACAACCTTTGACATTGGTTTAAATCCTCTTGAGGAAACTACGTGCACCCCCAGTCTGAATCATGTCAGATTCTCTTAAGCTCTATCTGAATGGATGAAAATGCCTCAACTGCTGTCATCTTGTTTCCCCACAGATGTTTTAATCGAGTTTAGTCTGATCCTTTGGCTGAGTTGGTCAAAGAGAATCAGAACAATTTCCAGAAGTCAATTGTCTATCTTTGCTCCACATGTTGTGATGAGAATATGTGAAAGGCAGACCACACAGCCTTTGCAATCGTAGTCATTTTAGCGTACATTTTCCTCAAAGATATTTCTCTATCTGACTGATTTTTTTCTTCCCTGGAATTTTGACCAGCCTCCATGTCGCTGCTCAACTCTGAACGCCAGCGCAAACCTATTGCTAATGTTCATTCTTGCATATTTATCTCATTTTGACAGCTTCAAATACACCTGTGATCAAGAGCTGAGGACTCATTCAGATGGGACACGTGGTTATCTTAATGGAAACAGCATTTGTATTTTTTTCAAATCTGAACAAAGCAGGATGATTAATGCGTGCCAACAGCATTTCAATTGTCACTACTGTTGCAGGCGGGTTCTGGGCTTCTTTTGGGCTTTCAGTCAGGACCTCTGGCCTGGCAAATCCAATCCGGCCAGTTGTATGTGGGTTGAGACAGAGGGAACTAGGGCTTTAAAACAAAAAATCTTCAGCTGTTTCTTTTCTGGTTCCAAAGACTTGCATAAAAATGCGCTGTACACTAGTCTTCTGAGGATAATGTCTAAAAACCCAGTAGGTAATGGAGATGTCACCATTGACATGGATGTGTCACGTCTATTAACCCCCTCCATTTATCTCTTTCCTGCTGTTTATTCACATTGAAATAAATCTGAAGAGAAACCACTAAATCTCCCAGCCATATTTTTCCAACTCTTTTGGAAAGATGCAAATGCATTCCCAAGCCAACCTCGAGACATAATCTCAGGGACATGTCCCACTGACCACAGATGTGGAGTAGCAGGACCTCCATGGGGACAGGGAGTTTTACCCTCTCCAAGAGTTTGAGCCCAGCCACATTTCAGAAGGAACATTTTCCACCGTGTGTTGCGGATCTCATTTTTCATTCCTTCTGCAGTCACAATCAAAGTCACATCTGCAGAGGCCGGTGTGAGTGGATGTGGTGTGCGCTTTTTTAGCAAATGTTCGCATCCATTTTCCTGAAAAACATATTTTTCCTGCATTTGAATGGGTCTTATTCTCACAACTTCTCCTGCACTCTCACCACTCAATCATCTCCGTGAATTGCAGGATGTTATCAGTGGCGTTTACAGTAAAAGAAAAATGTCAGATTTACTTATTTCTGCTTCTCCAAAAAAATCCTTGTTTAGTGTGACCGAGTCCAGGGATGATAGTGGATGCTCTTTTTTTGTGAATGCAGTCACTAACAGTTTTATTTCTACCCCTTTTTATACGCCTTTTTTTATCATATGTCAATCTGTCCCACAGATCATGTAAATTTCCATGATAAAGCGGCAGCATTTCAGTGAAAGTCAAGTAAAGAGCAATGCTGGAATCTGACTCAAGCAGCCCAGCTGACTGTTCAGAAGCACGGAGATTTTGAGGAGTAATATCCGCTGATGGCATGCGAAAAAGACAATGAAATGTCATTTGGTATTAATTGTGCACTGACTTGGCTAGAGTAAATAGAGATGACATTTCATGATACCCATTGCCTCTTCCACATGCACAGTATTGTCCCAGTTTCATCCACTAATGAGGCTAAAAGATCAGACCGGAATTGCATTGCAAAGGTTTTTTTCTCCGCTTTCTTTTCTTCCTTTAAGTGCCCTATGTGTCCTGTCCGGAAGAGTACATTACACCGCTTTTATCTTGTGCTCTTTGCAACAAATAGAATAAGGCCATTTTGAGAAAAAGCAGCTCAATTTTTGGGACATGCTTTTCTTTTATGTTGCCCTGGTAGATTCTGAACCACTTGGTTTGATGTGTGAAGAGTCTAATTCATCCTCTATAAAGAGGTAGGTCCATCCTGATGTGCTTCTCAGTGCTCTTTTTTTTTATTTCCCACAGAGAAAGGAGGTCATACCAGCTCTCTTTTACTGGTTTTATGAAGCCAACAGCACACTAACGTAATAAATACAAAACATCAAGCAGCTTTCCTTAAGTAGCTTTAGTCCTGTGGTCTTTGTTTAAAAATCTTTAACTTCATAAAAGTACAATCTGACTCGTGACTTATTGCAGTGTTCAATTATAACTTATCAATCCCTGAAGGGTGATTATATTGCTTCGGCATTAATTATTATTAGATATTTTCCTTTGCTATGGACACATGAACAGCTAAATGAAATATAAATCAGCTGACAATGATGTAAAAAGCTGAACGCTAGCAGAGAGCAAAGCATATAAATCACAGGTCTCCATCAGTTGTTTACAGGTGCTGTTTTTTAAGCTTGCGACAACTCAGCTGATGAGTGTATATGTACAATTTGCAGGTAAACTTGACACAAACTCGACAAACTCAGTAAAGTATCTGAGCCTTGGGCATTCTTTTGTGTCATCAGGACAAAAGAACTGAGAAAAACATGTTGGTTAGACTGAAATCAGTGGAACTTCACAAAGAAGGACGTAATTAAGAATCGTTCGTGAAAATTAGCATTTAATACTGTGTACTGGGGGTTGGGGGTTGGGGCTGTGGCTCGAGGATAAGAGCAGTTGCCTGCCAATGAGTGGCTCAATGGTTCAATCCCAGGCTACATGTCAAGTTGTCTTTGAGCCTCAAATGAGTGTTCTGTGTCCTTTTTGTGCCGGTTCCAAGCCTGGATAAATGCAAGGGTTGTGGCAGGAAGGGCATCTGGCGTGAAAACACTTGCCAACCCGGCCATGCAAGTCCAGGCCTGATCACAACAACTGTATATAAGACATCATGCAAAGACAAACTATAGCTAGCGAGTTATTATTGCAGCACAAAACACAACCTTGACTCATCAAAGGGTGTGTGTCTGAGGTGTGGTTTCTTGAAAGATACCATTGGTTGTTTTAGCGAATTCTTCCATCATAACGCCTTCCCTTTCCGTCCCTTTTAGTGACTTGTGTGACAGAACCCCTGTTCTTATGAGCCGATACTCCCTATTATGTTGTTTAGAACCAAAGAAGTCTTTTTGGATGAGAGTGAAAGAAGTCTGGTTGCCCTAATTCACACTCCTGAAAAAAATAACTTATCTTGAACATTTGCTCAACATCAATTCCCACCTTTTTGCTTAAACATAGATACTTAATTAATTTGAAAAGCACATTAGGCTCATTGTGAATTTTGTATAAACGCATATATGTATTTGTTTTACAGGTTGACTATAAATGCAGAGTGCCAACTGCAGCTACACAACTTTCCAATGGATGAACACTCTTGTCCACTAATTTTTTCCAGCTGTAAGTATATAATTAGGTTCCTGTGCTTGTTAATGAATTATGTATTGTGTGTTTTTGAGTTTAATGTATCACTTCCTTTTACTTTTGTGCTATATAGGATCGAGAACAAACTGTGCAGATCCCATAGGAATTCAAAATCGATGTGAATAGGTTTTCAATTATACTAAAACCTCTCAAATTTAAAATAAAACCAGTAAAAAAATAATAAAAGACCAAAGAGACATAAATAAAAGAATAAAAAACAGTTACTATAATTAAAACGATGATGAAATCCAAACTATCTGATCAAATCACAATTTAAAAATCAAAGTAAACACGGGAACTTTCTCAGCGACTGTATACTGTAAATATTATTTGAAGTATTGTCCCACTTAGAAGAAAGACACTGATCTCTGCTCTGGTACTGTTAAGATCCACACAATTATTGCTTACTTGTCATTGGTATTGAAATATATATTAATCTACAAGCTGTCATTGGAGGCTAAGACTTTGTAAAAGTTCAATCAAAATGAGATCTGTTATCATATACCGGGAGTTTAAAGAATAGCGATGAAGAAATATACATATATTAATCTGTGCACATATATATCAATATATAGACAGACAGGATGACAGACAGACTTCAAGTTTGCAGCAGAATTTATACCTGTTTCTTGGTGTTTTGAACACTCAGTCCACCCCGCAGACTGTCTGATGATTTTGTGATGCTTTGACAAATGGAGCACGGTGGGTAATGTGTCTTTTCTTGTGGCTCTATAGTGCCATCACAAAATCATTCAGTGTGATTGCACCCTGTGCAGCCTATTAAGTCTTAAAATCCGCTCGCCGGACGGCCTTCTCTATGGACCCATCCTACTGTGATCCATTTCCTTACCAAACGACAGTCCGCTGGTTCCCATGACAACGTCTCCGTTTTCTGATCAAGTCAGATTAGTTTGTCTTTAATGCTTTCATGCCTCTGGGGGACTGGAATAATCAGAACAGCACACAAGTACAATATAGAGTCAGCAGAGTGTAATAATAATAGATAATTAGCACAGCTGGCCAACCCGCTTGGCTTTGTTTAATATGACTTACTATTTTTATAGTCTCATATTATGAGGTGGAGGAAACGTTTTTTGTTTCCACTAATGGGATATTTTATATATCCATATATACATATATTCAAAATACTATCATGATGAAGTCGTTAAAAATGCTTAGAACTCTTTGTTAACAGCAACCTCACAAAGAATTATATCTCAGCGTTTCGGTCCTCCAGGAAATGATTATAAGATGATTGTTTTGTTGTTGTTCGCCCTTGTCAGTTATCTCCAGCCATAGCAGATGAGTATTTTTAGAATAAAGAGGTTCAGATGTAGAGTTTTCTAACCCATAATGTTGGGCATCTGTATTAGCACAAGGTCTTACTTAAAGAAAAAGAGACACATTCAGTTTAAGCCCAATTTAAAGTTGTTTAGCTCAAGCAAATTGTTATTTGAACAATGTCAATTAGTTTTCTAATATATATATAATTGTATTGATAGATAAATAATTAGAATTGTATATAGATTCAATTAAACTATTCCAAAGTTTTACAATATATTCATAATTAACAGAATTTTCATTGCACCCCACATCGATCAAAACACTGCTACAAGTTCAATACAATTTAGATAAAGTGGAACTTTAGATTACATCCCGACCATTATGACATCACCTTCATAGAGCCTCTGTGATCCCAGTTTGTCTAAAATCCTGCAGCTCAACTTTAGCGAGAGCAGGAGCCTTCCAAAACTTTTTTGTCCAGGAAATAATCACATCCGGATTGGAAATCAGACAGCTATGCTGCGCATGACAAATGTGTCCCATTATCTTTGCAGGCGGCTTGATAGTCAACAAAGCCACAACAGAGAAAAAGGCCGATAAGTTGAGATTTGATCACACTTGTGCCGGAAATAAAGAAATCGTCACTGTAATAGCAAATAACAATCTGCCGCGGTGAGACTCACCTTGTTTTTCCCCCCCTTACACTGCAACACCACTCAGCGATAAACAGGATCTGCAAGACCTAAATATATACCCTCTTATATAGTCCTGCAAAACTCAATGAAACTCAGATGGTGACAGATTTCAGCATGTTCCAGAACAACAACCAGCCATTACTGCTGCTCTGTCAGACGCAACAGTAGCTAAACTATCGGCGCATGGCGTGCGTTTTTTATTGGTTAACAGATAACAGAGCAGTTAGAGGCGTAAATATACTTATTCATTAAAAGTACATTGTAATACTTGGACAATAAATGTAAAACTACTTTGACGACAACTCTTAAATATACTATCATCACCGCCTTTACTTTGGCAGCATGTGGACAGTGTTAGGGGGTGGCAGAAACTTTCTATCTGGCTCTCTGGGTGTAGAAGGGTAGGAGGCTGAAATTGTCAGCCTTAAAACCATTCTTTGCCTAACGATTCTGACTGAATCGTTAGAAAAGTAACAGGCAAAAAAAAAAACACTGGACAAGAGCAGCAAAAACAGACCTAGGAATGCAATGAGACAACATGGGAAAATGGAAGTGATGAAATGTTTCAGGATGAAAAGCCCAATCATGAGGGAATGCGGGTAGGCATGTGGGAAAACATCTTCCTAATATAATTTATGCAAATACCTTGTTTAAAGGGCTGAAAGTGCACTCTTATTTCCATCCACATGGAACATCCATGCAGATATTATATATAGCGGTGGTAGTATCATGTTTTCATGGTTTTTCTCACTGGTTGGAAGTCAAAATCAAAGGACTGAAGGATGACCCTAAATATAGACATTTGTCAGAATAGCCTGTTTATTTTTTCCAGCCAATCAAGAGTTAGATGGATTTAGACCCTAATGGCCCATAGCAGACTGCAACAACAAAATATTGTGTCAGTCAACTCATAAAATGATTTTTTATTCAAAATTGATTAGGAAACTAATCAAATCCAACAAAAAAAGAGAAAAGCAGTTAGCTAATGGGTACTTTTAATGTTCCAGAGAGAGTTGCTCCAAAGTTATTTGTAATGACCCAAGTATTGGGAGTTCTTTACTTGCACTGGGAAGTGGGGATTTTGGGATTTCCTCTTATAGAAAGTAGTGGAAAAAACACTGGTGATCCAGAAATAGTCTTTCCGAAAAGGAAGCAGCAAACGTCTTCAAAATTTTTCCACAAATACCTAGATCTAAAGAAGATTTTTTCTTTCAGTGTTTGAGAACAACAAACTTTAGGCAAGGAAAACAGATCAGTCAGAGATGCAGATAAAGCGCAATCAGCTCAGTGCCAACCATCACTATCACCATCATCTGGCACATAAGCAGATAAATGGCTCAGAGTGGGTCGAAAATACTATCAAAGTAACCTCTGACAGGAAGGCGGTTTATTAACAGAAACTAATTATTCTCAAGAAGCAAACTGAAATTCTCAGTGAAAAGAACAAAAGAAACAAAAGATCCAGTGATGACACACCACAGGAAAAGAAAAACTAACTGAAATGAACAAACAAGATCACAGAAATGTATCCGACTAATTAAAAATCCTAAAGTAGAATCAAGTCATCTCCAGGCTTCTTGTCATAACTACAAAATCTGACAGAATTGTTAGCTAGCATGTCAATTTAACATTTTGACCACATGTACACCTTCTTGATGAGGACCAAGTCCTCAAAATGAAATGGTTTTTTTTTCGCTAAAGCATGTACAATGCATGTTGTATTCCCATTTTTAACTTCAAAATGGAAAACAAATGTGAATAAATGTTAATAAAAATCATTTACCACATACATTGTGACCGGGAAAGGCCATCCCTCACATTTCATGTTTTTGTCTATTAAAAGCCCGTCACAACAAGTTGTTGTTAATTAATATTAAGTATTTATAGTCAGCATTTTTACTCCAGATGATAAGGTGTCTGTGAAGACAGGAGAGGCATTTGGTAAGCACAGCACCGTAGCAGTAATGGAATCATTAACCCATCATTAACCTCAGATGGTCAATAGTAAAAATGCTCTGAGGCTCTGTGTGCGTCGTGTGAAGGTTAGACCCAACATCAAGACAGATTCCCGACATTATTGAACCATAGCTTTCATTTAATCTACTTTCCGTCTTCCTCCGTCTTCATTCCAGACCGTCTTTTCATTAACCAGCCTCCAGCACAAGACAAATGTTGCTTTGGGTGGCCCCTAGGTCTGTCTGTTCGGGGGTATCCATCATTAGGATGTGCCGCGTGGCGCTGAGGGTCACGCGCACACATGCTCTTTGTAATTGCAGATGGATACCCGCGAGATGAGATGATTTACAAGTGGAGGAAGAACTCGGTGGAGGCGGCCGACCAGAAGTCCTGGCGTCTGTACCAGTTTGATTTTATGGGCCTGAGAAACACGACGGATGTGATACAGACAACGGCAGGTAAAGAAACAGACAGGGAAAGTCCACGTCAATAGGATTTTTTTCTATTTTTCCTGATTTTCTAAGTTGTTTTATTGAAAAAGAAAGCATTACATTACATTTTAAAACCCTCCTATGAGGAATACCAAGGTAATTTTTTTCTCTTTGCACATCACTTATGACATCCATTTGCTTTTACACAGAGCTTTCTAAAAGTATACAATATAGGTCCTTAAAACACAAGTCAACCTCTTCTCTTTCCTTTGTCCTTGCAATCAGCCACACAGAACCCTTTTGAAACCACCTCAGTTAAACTGTGTCACTACAACTGCGTGACAGTTCATTAAACTGACGCTAGTAGACAGCATTGTCATATGCGGATATTTAATTTACCATGGTTATTGTTTCTCCATTGTAATTAAATACAGTTGAAATGTCACCATTGTTGACATTGCAAGAATGCTTTCAACACACTACTTTGCTGGATTGCTAAAAAACAAAAACCAATATGTGTAATTTCTAAGAGGTAGAATTATTTTATGATTATTTAAGTAACATGCAGTTGTTTTTGAGCATGCATTGGTTTAGTATCATCTACTGTTGTGTCATAAAGTTTATATTTAGGATTTACAGGTAACTGGATAGATTCCTGTAGTTAACAAAAGATGACAAAGGATATTTTCACAACTACCAGATACAGCAGCTTTCAACACAATGACCAAATTAGGGGGAGAACCCCTGTCTTACAGGTTACATGCTGTCTTCTTAACAACTCTCTCCCTGAGTGGGGTCCGCCAGAATCCATTTTATGTCTTTCTGGAAGTTATTCCCACTGATCTTTAAATTGCCTAGTTTCGTTCTCCCCTTCAATTGACTATGGTCTCTCCCGGAACCTTTAAAAAGGTGTTGAGGCCCCCCAGGGACTCTTTTAGCCTTAACACCTCGCAGAGGAAGAGACAAAGGTAAGTTGTTTGCACACCAATGTTGTAGGAAACATCTATTTTAACACTTTTGCCAAAGATTAATTGTCATACTTGTATTTTATTTAGTTTTTAGAACAGGTCAACATCAGCACCAGCTGAGAAGAAGCTGACAAACCAAATAGAATACTTGAAACTGTTTGTGTGTAATCTGTACTTTAAAAACAAATGTCGGGGGAGGTATTGATTACCTTCATTACACTACTGCATTACATAATATGGGAATTTTGTGCTTATCTGGGCTCAGTTGTTCTGTAGAATCTAACCAGCTGTGTCAGGAAGAGACAACAAGTTATCTTTCTATAAAGTTTGATGTTGTCGTTTCATTTCCACTCACAGGTGACTATGTAGTGATGACAGTATACTTTGACTTGAGTAGAAGAATGGGCTATTTCACTATCCAAACTTACATCCCTTGCATCCTAACTGTGGTTCTCTCCTGGGTGTCATTTTGGATCAAAAAGGATGCCACTCCAGCCAGAACGGCTTTGGGTACAGTAGATTTTAAGATTTATTGGAATTATTTACGTTGGAATCATCTTCTGACCTATTTCTTTTGTACATTTAACTCATAATTAGCTTTTGATTTCCTTTTTTTTTCTCCATGTTTTGCAGAAATGCTTCATTCAAAAATCTTTTCACTTGAGTTATTTGATGTGACTTTTTTTTATTGTACCTTTTCTGTGCATGCCATCTATTGTTGTACAGTCCAATGGAGTTTGTCATGGCAACTGACATTGCTGATATTTGATTAGTCGGTGAGGATACAATGACAAATTTCTTCATGAGTTAGTCTCCACATTACAGAGACATACAGTGTCACACACTGCTACGATGCTGAGTCAGTAGGTTCAATATCGGGTCTGCACACAAACCTTAATCTGTCATCCTCTCCAAAGCACATGGATCAGTTGCAGTGTAATCAGGATGCAAAATGAAGATAATATTTGGATGCAAACTGGCAGTTAAGGCTTAAAAATCAGTCATGAATTTTTAAGTTATCATTCGCGCGAGTCAGCGTTTCCTCTAAATGCTTAATTTTTCTGTGCCGATGGCGCAAATGAACACTTACTTGACAGTTGGCACATTTCATGTTGCTCCTCGGAGTTTAACCTACATTAGGCTCCCAGTAAAGATAGATGCCTCTGAGTTTTATCGGTTTTTAAGTGGGGAAAAGAAACCAGAGAGTCTGTGCCAGAGCATTAGCGGAAGGCAGGTAAGGGTAATCATTGCAGCAGGCAGAGGCTAAAAGCAAAGTGTGACATGTCTGCCTGAAATAGATTGGGCTATCTTGTTACCATGGTAGCCACAGCGATGCTTTTTTCATCTCAGCTCATCTTGAAATCTCATTGAGAAAATGGATTCGAGTAAAAAAAAGAGGGAAATCGTTCAAAGTAGGAAAGATGTCATCAACGTCCAATGTGATCATTTGTCATATTTATCCATAAAAATGCCATTTTGGTCAGTAACTGACCCACGGAAACATAAGCAGCATCGATCGATATCCTTATATTAACTATGGATCAGATAAGCTTGGGCAATGTGAGAGGAAGCATCCACAACGATAGACCCAAAAGTGATTATCTCCAAATTCTGGAGTTGCTTCCATGTCATTTTCAATTTCTAAAAGTTGAACTACAGCCACACATTTTTATCATCCTTTGCTCAATTCCATCGGCTAAGAATTGGTCAGTAAGCAAAATGTCAAAAACTGCTATTATTTGAAAGAATAACATTAAAAAATTAAGAGCGAGACTATTCTTAAACACTGTGCATTTTACAAAAAAACATTAGAATCCCATTAAAAAATAAAAAAGTAGTTTTTTTTCTTACCAGTCAAAGTAACTTCCACACTGTTCTCTTGGTTTCTTACTGAACACAACTTCCAGGTTAGGTTTAGCCCACAGTTTCTCTTGTTTCAGGTTAGAATCACAAAGCCTATTTGTAGGTTTGACATACAATCTTTTGATGATTAAGAAATCTTACTATAATTGTAAATAAAGCATGTTCTGTGCTTTACATGAGGCTAGTTGGTTTACTGCCAAGTAAAGGTAATTTAAACCTGGATGTACAAACAACCAGCGGGGGTATTCGGTATTACACTCTAAGACTAAATCTCTCTTAAACTCAGAGGTGTCTGATTTTAAAATGATCATAAAACAATTTGAGCTTCACACCACCCTGTCATGCAGTATCAAGCTAGCCTGTTTTATCTTAAACCTTTTGGTCTTAGGTTGGACCAAACGAAGAGAAAATGTGTGTGCATGTGTGTCTTCCCAGCTTTTCTGTCCTAGATGCCTCATATCCCTTTTGATATATTCATGTTATTTCTACAAAGGATACATCATATTCAATGTGAACTGTTCATTTGAAGATGATCATATTATCAAAAAGATACAGTAACTTTGAATATAAATACATTTTACTGTGACATTAAACTAAAAATGAACAGGTTGATTTCCATTTTCAAATGTGAGATTTGCCTGTAACAAGTTGGTCATTTCCTCTGTTTTCCAGGTATAACAACAGTACTGACAATGACCACTCTCAGCACTGTGGCCAGGACATCTTTACCCCGAGTGTCTTATGTCACCGCCATGGATCTTTTTGTTACCGTTTGTTTCCTGTTTGTCTTTGCCGCCCTGATGGAGTACGCAACATTAAATTACTACTCCTACAGCAGTCGAAGTCCCTGCTGCATGGAACCCAAAAGAACAGTGAGTTAAACTTTATCCTTTCACAAATTCAAGATCGAATACATCACTGGAGCGGACTTGTAGTAAAAGATCAAATATAGATGAGTTGATGCCCTTTTGTGCAGGATTATCGTTGCATTTTGGTGGTGGTAGCTTTTCTGGGATTGTGCGGCGGTTTGTTATCACAGGACTGAAAAGAGAAAAACGGTCAAGGCTGAACTGTTCTGATGCTGTCCTCTGTGAGCTATTTTAGGGAACACTGCCTCACAATCATATGCAGGGTTCTAACTTTAATTGCATTTCCCAAGCAGAAATAAAAAATAAAATTTATTATTTTTTACGTACTAAAAAAACTGAAAAATACCTCATAGTCTCAACATTACGCTGTATAAACAATCTGGGTGTTTCAATGAATCTGTTTCTTACGTTTTTGGATTTTGTTTTGGGTTTTTTTCCTATTTTTTCCTGGTTTTTATTAAAGTCACTGCAGTATTTATCACTTTTTGGTCTATGTCTTCTAAAAAATTTGAGTAAATAAATTGTGAAAATTAAATCAGGACACATACATAGGCTGCTCAAATCAATCTTCTAAGAAAACCAGTCATGTCAAATGTGGGTTTTGAATAAACTCTCCTTTTTCAGAATTCTTTTTTCATTTAGTCAGATAAGGCATCAGAATTTTTAAACAAAGTTGTGCTGTATAGCACCACTGGTAGTTGAATGTACACTTAAATACCCAGGTGGAACTCAAACTGCTCATCTAAACTGTGCAGGTAATCATATCTGATATTAAGGTCTTCAATAACCTTTTATGTTTCGAATCAAGGCTGTTTATCACTTGAAATATTTACAATTCTGTCATATTAGAACAAACAAATAAGATAGACAAAGAGATTAAAAAACATAAAATGAAGTAGTAGCATTAGTGTGAAAGGAACTGTTAGCATTCACATCTGGAGAAAAAGGACCTCCTGAATATCTGTCCTGCATTGCAACAAGATGAGCCTTGTTTTTTTTGCCGATCCAAATAATCCAAAGAATCAATGCCTTGTAACACATGTTCAAAAATGAACTATGCAGTAGATGAGGATGCACAAATTTCACAATCCAAAGTGAGGAAAGCACCTCACAGCCTCTGCCTCCCTGTTTTTTTTTTTTTTCAGACCTACTCTGTCTTGGATGTGAGGCCTCCTCCACACACCATCATCGCTTTAAACAACTCCCTGTACTGGCAGGATTTTGACGACACCTGCATCTACGAGTGTCTGGACGGCAAAGACTGCAAGAGCTTCTTCTGCTGCTTCGAGGAGTGTAAAGGAGGTGGGTGGAGGAAAGGACGAGTTCACATAGACCTTCTGGAGCTGGACGCATACTCTCGTGTCTTTTTTCCCACTTCTTTCTTGCTCTTCAACATTGTCTACTGGGTGGGTTACCTCTACCTTTAGTACTTATTTGTTTTTTAAAAGCAAGACAGAGATTTAAACAATCACTTTCACTATCAATACTGGATACCGTAACGCCAAATAAGCGCTTTCTGTTGTACCAGAGGCATTGAAAGCAGCACTGAGCGAAGATTACGGCCTGGACGCATTTACCAAGCAGGGGTTTTCTCCCACGGTGACTTCAGGAGTGAAAACACACATCGCTTTTTATTCATATCCTGTACAAGGCTGTACAAAGTTAGAATGGACTTAATGTGAATAACTAAAGACAATATAGGCTTTGCGGCTACTCCAGACTCCTCTGTCGGGAGCATGGCTTGTGTTGTATAACTGTTATCCAGCCATTAGTCTAATCCGCTTGATGAAAATCCAAGGACGTTTGAACCATTTATAGTGCCTTCCTATGGAGGGGTAGATACAATCTGCAACAAAAATCAGGGAATAATTGATTGTTATAATTGTTTGGAGAAAAAAAAAAAAGGAAATATGTAAGAGCCTTTTTTCAATGAATCGGGGCTGTTTTCTTTTCAAGCTTTTGAGCTAATATTTATTAAAACGACCATTAGCTGGAAGAACCACACAAAGAATCACTCCAGTCTGATCATTTCATTGTGATTTGGAGCCTCAGACGTCAATCTTTTTTGTAACATTGTCAATGGTTGGTGATGTGCTTAAAAACAGCTGGAAGAAAGCGACTGAAAGGAGTCATAAGCTGAGATGTATTTATTTATTTGTGATTTATTTGGTTTGTTTTGAACGTTTTGGAGAATTTTGGGGTGCAAATGAAGCTTCTCTCAATAGTTTTCCCATTATCATGAATAAGTGGAGGCTTTAAAGGTTGTCAATAATACTATTATCACAGCTAAACAACAAAACAGAGCAGTTTCCCATTTGTACTTTTCATTTTGATACTTTTTTCACCCAATTTTAACAATTTTAACACTGTATTCGCATCACAGATCATAAAGACAGCTTGACACACACTACAAAAAAGTGATTTGGCAAAACATTGTGTTAATTCTTTTAGAAAATGAAACCATCTCCCAGATTGAAGCGTAATAGCTGTCATTCATAAACCGTAGACACAATTGCACGTATTAGGCTCACTAAACTCCATCTTTTTGTCGACTCCAGCTTGTATCCCACAGCCAATTGGCCATTACCCTGAAGAGGTTGTGACACCTCTTGAGACAGAAATATTGTTTTAATATGGACTGCGCATCACAATTAGATTTGCCTGTGTTCTGATGTGGTATTTATGGCCGCTCAATTGCCTTAGCGTTGCCCACCCAGCTGAGAAGAACACCAGAAATCCGCATTTACCTCTTGTGGTAACAAGTTGTGTGGTTTTGTTGTGTGGGTTGCACTTCAACAAAGGCTGGTTTTTTTGCCTTGGGCAGTAAACTTACTATAAATTAATTGTTTTAATCATCTCTTTCTATTATATCTACCATAGATGTGCCAAATATTTTCCATTGTTTTCCCTTACCTTTCTGTTTCTGATACAGCACATTCTGTACAGGATGAAGTGTGTGTGTTTGTTTGTGTAGACATCAGTTGTTCTGAGAAACATGAGGACGGTTAAGATGTACAGTTAACCGTGAGGGGAAATGTAAACAGTTTGTTTAGTGTCGGGGTGGATGCTGTGTTACTTAGTGGTGCGTTTTAAATGCTGCTGAGCGGCCGCTAATTCCAGCCGGACAACCAGAGCAAATATTGCCAGCAGTGGGTTGAAAGCGCTGTATACTGGGCCTGCAGACAACACGATGCTAAATAAAGGTGTCAATGGATCTGAGGACACATCAGTGCTTTTGCTCATCATATCTTATGAACAAAAAAAACAAAAAAACAGTACTGACACCAGCTTTTAAGAATGTTTTTATCTTGTTTTTGGCAGTCATGCCGGTTATTTCTCTGTTTAATTAACTTTATCTGTCATTTGTGATATTTTCCACAAAACGAATGCAAAAGTATACATTTATACGGTAAATGTACGGTTATACATTCATTTTGTGACTTATGTTTGTATTACTATGTACATATACTCATTAGGCAGTCCTGTCCAAATGTTTGAGTACCCTGTCTCCTTTCTGCTTTTTTTTTTTTTAAACGAAATGCAATAAGGTATTCTGAGTGGTGCTTTACTTGTCACCAAATCATACATCACCACAAAAGGATTTTTAAAATGTTTTTTTCAGAGGACTCAAATACTGCAGTAGAGTGTGTACATAAGCTCTTTTTATTATAGGATAATGGCTTCATCAAGCTCCAGCAACCTGTCACTCTGACATAGGCCACTTTTACATTAATGTTCTTCTTGGCTTAATTCAGTAGTACCCAGATCTGGAATGACTGTTACATAAGCCACAATAGGCAAAAGTCAGATTATCCTGCCATGAGATTTCATATTAGCCCTAAACGTCTGCTGTGGATCACAAAAAAAATAAAAAAAACATAGCAGCTGTGATTTGGAGCTTTTGAAACAGCCCCTTAATTACTACACATCTCTCTTGAAACACTAATATTAGCTTTAAAGTCAACGTTTTTTATTGTGCTAAAGGCTAAGAGTGGTCGTCAAGTCTGAAAATTGTAGCCTTTCAAGTACTCTGGTTTAACATGCTCCTCCTCCACCTTCGTTGCTGCTCATTGTGTCGGTTAGAGAGGAAAAGCTGCAAACGTGGTGCCATATTCAGGGTTGGTTTGAACAATCATTTCACCAACAAAACCAGCAGGGACTACACAAGCAGCCCCAAATGTTCTTCACCTCCCAAGATATTTTTGTTTGTTCACACCATCATAATTAATTCTATACATCTGAGTTCTGTTATATCCTCCCTACACCCAGAAACGGGTTATTTGGTCACACACACCGACTTCGGAATAAGCAAGTATAGAAAATGGATAGATGCAATAGATGAATGGATTCTATAATGTACAAACATTAGAAGAGAAAAATCCCTTTGCAGAGTCAATTCAAGATGGCACCAAAGACGTCATCAGTCTTGTTCAAAGATGTAATCTGTTGATTATATTTATTGGTTTCTTTTAACTCAAGATGGTTGGGAGAAATCTTAAAGCAGGATCAAACCAAACCTTGAGTCCTGAGGTCAATGCTAAGTAAATGATGAATAAAGTTTCTTTTATCTAATTTAGCGAAGGACACACACAGTTTACCGATAGATCTGACATGAAATGAAATACCCAATGGGCCAGACACAAGGCAATTATTAACTACTGAAGCGGCACATATTTTCAAATCATGACCACCACCCGATTGTCTTCCCTCTTCTATCTTTTAGACATGATCCACGGTAAGAAAATAAAAGACACCTGCGTAAAATAGTTGCTAAAGTTTGCATTTGGTTCAGTTAATACTGATTTAAACTAGTATTTAATTTGTTATTTTAAATTCGGGACTGAGTTTACAACCCAAAGAGTTGGTATTTATAGATCCTCTGAATTATCTTCCTTATCTTATACATTATCTCATGGTAATGAATTACTGGAACAGGGGCACCTTCTCAGTCACTTTCATAATAGAATAGAATGGAGGCTTTATTTCTGTCCCAGAAATGAATTGCTGGTCTGAGGAGTACATACATGGCATGTACACAGAAACAGAAAAGTTTTGTTAATACATCTTTACCACTAATCTTAACATATGATTGTCCAAAATACTGCACAAGATAAAAAGTGGACACAAAAAGCACAAAACAAATGAGCTTGGAGTCACTGCATTTGGGCGCACACTGTCTTCTTACTCAGTACTTGTTTTGCTCCCAGAAATTTTCTTCTACCATATTAGATCAAACATTTTAACATTAAACCATTTAAAACTTTGGAGCTTAAATCATTTATCATACATCACATTAAGTCCCTAGGTCTTTAATCGTTTACGTTGAGATTAGGGTTGCTGATGGACTAATGAGTTGGAGAACTGGACTCCACTACAACGTGGTCGAAGAGCAATGTTTCCAAATATCAAACTTTTGATTCACTGTGCAGCCTTCCCTCATTTCTTGACTGGCTGAATTCTGGAACAAAACTGTATCTCATACTTCTTCAGTTACTTTTCAGCAGTGTCCGGTACAAAGGAACGTCTTTCGCTGGAAAACAGCCGTGTTCACTTCCTGTCTACCAGTTTAAAGGCGGCTCTGTTAGGTTCAAACTTCACCAAACATGTGAACACAATTCATCAGAGTTCTCGTCTTTCAAATAAGATACGAAGTTGTGATTTTTTTTACTGAGCCCAACTCCACTTGACAATGACAGTGTGCCTTCCTGATTTCAGAAGATATTTAACCGGCTGTCCCCACAACTCCCCTGAGTGCGATTTGATTTCTACCCTCCCATCACTCCGTTTGCTTTTGATTCTCTTCAGCTGGACTGATTTTTTTGTGTTATTTTGTCAGCAAGTGGGAAACCAACAAATGTAAATACAGTGTTGGGGTAGGGGGGGGGGGGGATTTGATCCCAGGCCAGTGTTTGCATGTGGGCTGCCTCCAGGCTGGACCACTGAACCAGCTCTGGGACTTAAACAGATCTGGGGCATCTATGGGACTGAGCTGGTGACGGACAGAAATCCTGTTTTTCTCTACTGTGCCAGGCAAACCCCAAAGCAAGTTGTGTGTGTTTGCGATCTTTAGGGTTTTGTTTCTCTAACGGGCCGAATCCTCGACAGAACCGGTACGGTTTTTGGAACTTGAGGTACAGCTCGGTGCAAACACTGATTCTAAGCCACATTTATTAGGCTTTGTTGGGACAAATAAGCCAAAGAATTTTCTGCTCTGTGATATCCAGTCAAATGGTTTTTCTGTTCTTAAGGGTTTTCTGACAAAAGAGTTTCTATGTATTCAGCACAGTGCTGTGATGTGCCATTTGAATGTAAAGTGTAACGGAAGTGCAGCAGAAATAATTATTCCAAAAGTGCTCTGAGGTGCTTTGTGTCAATTATGTCCACTCTTGTTATGTAAGGCAGATATTGTGTATGTGCTGAGGAGACT